ACACTGATATTCTTGTAAGATTTACCCAAGAACATATTGACCTGTAGATGAGTAACATTTAACTTATATGGTTGAAATTAAAAATGAAAAGGGCCAGAAAAACGATGTACTGGTCTGCAAACCACTTTATTGGGCTCTGAAAGTGACTGAAGTTTGCTTGACAGGGTAATTATTTCTTTAGGCTGGTTAGTGGTACCCCCTGGCCTCCCAGATAAAAAAATTAAAGCCGTTGAATGGGTCTTATCAAAGTTTACCCTTAGACAGCCATTTTTTATAGAAAAGGTACCACTTTTGTGTAACTTCCATGGACAAACTGGTTTTCCTTTTGACATACTTGGAAGGTACGTGTCAGTAAAAACACATATTATTTTAAGAAGGTTGAGTATGGTCGTCCGGTGAACGTAATCCTGAATAGGAATAGAGACCTTCAGATTCTAAGACGAGAACGACCATGAGTAGTAGATTTTCTCAATAGTAAGTAGTGCTCGCGCGTGAAGCAGCGTCATTTTGGCGGGAAAACGTGGTAGCCGTCGTCATTCTACTACTAACCTGAGATCAGGCCCAATTTTAGCGGTTCTCATACATTCTCTAGAGCCTGATCTCAGGTTATTCTACTACGAGTTTTAATGAGAGTGTCGTAGTGGCGGGAACAAGTTATCAAATGTTAGAAGTTTTAGCATTTTGCAATCGGGAGAGGGCTCAACCTCCTTCAATAACGATAACAGTGCTAACTTTTCTGGAGATAAAAAGTACAATGAAGAATTCCGGTGTGACTTTTTTTTTGACAATACGCGAAAAAACTTTGAATGAAATCTCGTACTCGTAGTCGTTGACAGTAAACTGTTTGTTGTGTTTGCCGTTGTGCTGCAGAAGTACGTCGAAGTTAGGCAAAGTTTTAGTAGGTCCATAATGTCGTCTGTAGGTAATGGTAGTTCGACAGTAGAGTTCTTTAAAGCGTTCTTAGTGCACTCTGGAGCCAGTTGAAGTGGTGACTAGTAATTGTGATTTTCACATCAAAAGAGTGATACGGTCAACTGACGTTATACAACTCACTTTGACTCTGACGATGACTACCGCACAGGTTGTTGAAACGTCAGTCACTGCCATCAAGAGCCCTAATTTCAGGACCACGTTCACCTGGACGATAATACTCGACCTACTTATGAAACTAATGACTCCTGGGTTCAGCCCTTTCACAGTTTTACGTACACTTGGACAACAGAGTGAACGACTTGCAAACGACTACTTCAGTTACGCAAGTACGCATACAACAACTCTGGTTTAACCACCGCTGCAAAGATCTCGGCCTTATTCCGAAAGGACTTTGAATTCAAGTCCCCGTTGAACACATAAGAGGCCAGTCAAATCGTCAAGGTCACATGTAGACGATTGATCCGAGCACGGATGAACGACTGTCACAGAAGACGACTACTACAACAACAAAATATAACTACGACTTGACAAACTTAAACAACTTATACCGACTACCTTACTTAGCACTATACAGACTATTGCTGACAAACGCGCTGACAAGAGAGCTGATCAGCACCGCGCGGAAACGAAACAAACTGACAAAAAACGCTAAACGACGTAAACCAGACGCTAACTGGGTCAGGAATATTTCTTCCGGTCCCTTAGACGAGATTGAAACACAAGTACTTTCCTACGGACTGAAACACTCAGTGACACCTAAACAAACACCAACTGAGGCTATTGTATCTGGCGTTGAGGCCGTTCTGTCCCGTCAACACGAGCTATCAGAATCGACCAAGGTTAAAGTGGTACCCCTTTTGAGAGGTCGGCCCCCTGGCCTCTTGTTCTGCTTCAGTGATCTTCTCATCCATGTATTGAAAGCTGCAATGTGGTCCAAGCAGTGGAAAGGCACATTAATGCTACAAAAACTGAAATACAGCAAAAAGCACACGGTTGGGATATGCATGCTACTAGTTATACCCCATGTTTCCAAAGTAAGGTCTGTATTTTTAATGCTCTTGTAATGAAAAGGTGACTATATACAGACGTAATCAAGAAGCCATGGGAGGGAAAGTGTGGGGATGAGCATCCTTGTCAATATTTGTTGAAAGAGGGGTTTCAAGGCTATAGACGTAAACCATAACTCAAGTCTGCGCTTTAATGAAAACTTCCGAGAGTCCAAGAGCTCTGAACCTGGGATGCTCAGCGTAGACGTCTTGTGTAAAATTAAGGATCTCCTTGTCGCGCGCAAGGGAAAGGAAGTGTCCAGGGAACACTGAGCTGCCGTGCTTGGACTTGCTGGAGAACAGGAAAAAAAGTCTCACTCTACTTAACTGTATCAAGAGCCCTTAACCTTCCAATCCAGTAGAGGAATTTTTAGATCAAATGAAATCTGGACGAGATTTAAAGGAAAACTATACAAACTATGGTTCCATCCAAAATTTACGAGAATGACATCCTGTGCATGCGAAATATTAACTAATGCTCACTTTGTTTACTCAGTTTTTAGGGGATGGTTGCATGTTCGCCATGAAGGAACAGAAATACCACTAACCTCATCAGCCATCAGTCCTGATGCCACAGGGTAGTATGGCATGACTGGGTGTAATGTGCAGCACGGAATTACTAGAGCGTTGTTCTGGGTGTGTTATGTTAAATGCGTAACAATATAGAAAATGTTTTTGATCAACCTGATCCGGATGACAGAGAAATTTTAAGGCATGTTTTCAAGAATGACAAGAATAAAAAGAAACTAAACGTTTTTATCTTTTTATTTCACAGAAAGCGTTCTGTCTTACATTAAAAATGTTGGAAAATATCTGCTCGATCATTCTTTTGTTTATTAGATTCTTTGCCCTCCCCTTTACACGGGCGACTTTTGATGCGATTTATCGGAGATTTTCTGCTCGAGAATTTTTGAAGTCATTTTTTGGTGGATGAACATTTGCATCATTCGTCCTGAAATATAACTCGAAATATCCCATGAGTATATTAACGGCCCTTCACTTTTCTGTTTTTTCATTTTACAACCCTGAGGCAAAAACAAAACCTTTTGGTTGCGCGTTTTGCGAGCGATAATCTATGCTTTATTTCGTGAAACTTCGATACTAGGCCTATGTCACGGCCTTTTTGAAGTTTTGGTATATTTTTAGATCAATGGAAGTTCTACTCCCTCTGAGCGCATTCCAAGTATAAGAATCAAAATGGAAAACTAATAAGTCATTTAAAGGTAAACTAAGTTTTGGTGAATGGTTTGTGGGGCTTAATTAATATTCTTAACTTGTCTCAAAATCGTTTTAAAACTAAACTGGTCAATCAAAACCCCTTCAAACGAGTACACATAAGTTGCTCCATCCGCTTTAATTGAGCTGAAGGACGGCGAAAGAAAGTCTCTGGAAACCAGACGTTTCACTGGTGCAAACTGCCCTTCTAAAGTCAGCGTGCCACGTAGCAAGCGTTCAAAGAGACTAAGTCGGGAAGGTTGAGGAGTTCAGATTGACGCCACCATCGCCTCGTACCCAGACGCTTCTTGGGATTTTTGACGGTAGTCTCGGCGCAAGGTTCATGAGTAAAGCTCAAAAACGCAAAGGCACAAGGGAGGCTCAACGTGAAAGGCGGAGCACCGCGACCTGTTTTTCGTCCTTCCCATGACCTCCTGCGCCGCGACTACCGCAGATATTCCCAAGAAGCGCTTGAGTACGAAGCTGACAACGTCAATTGACGTCACGTTTCGAACTTTTTGTGCTCGTTTACAAGCCTCCTTCACTGCGAATTGACCCCCGAAAGAGACTGCGAGAAACCTCTCTGGCTGCTCCCGTTACAATTTTCGGGCTTTGGCGTCGCGACACTTTTTTCACCCATGATTTTCTGCAAGATTCCGGCGCGAAAAAAAAAAATGGATTAAAAAGTTGCAAGAAATTTGAGGAAAAGTTGCACACGTAAAGTAGGTTGTGCTGGCTGGTTTTTTCTTCCTTCTCTTGTAACGTATTTTATTCAGAATTGAATGAACGTGCCGGCGTGTCGGGGGTGTTTATTCCTAGCAACCTCGTCTACATGGCCACAGGGCTTTTCTCTAAAAAATGGGAAGGGGCGCGACGCGTCTCCCAATTTTTTAGAGAAAAGCCCTCGGGATCAGGTTACATTCCTAGCTGCCAGCTAAGGTCATAGCGCGAGAAAGCAATAATTCGATCAAGACACGATCGGATCGCTGTTTACATTTTTTTGTGAGCTGTTGTGATTGGCTACTTTCTCATTTTATTTCCACTGTTTTTAAGATATTTCCATAATTATTTTACCCTGTCGGTTTACAAATATTACTTGGGCTCGTCATTTTGACAACAAAAACGCAACATAGAATATAGCCTACGTGGGATGCATTGAAAGGGATAGGAGAGAAAGGAGAAAAATGGGGGTCGAGGGTTTCCCTTCCGCTTCTTTCTTTCTTTCTTTTTTTTTCTCGCCATTTTCATCTGCCAGCCATTTCCAACTTGTTTTACCTGCCACGTAAGCTATACCGGAATGTCTTTTTTTATGAGGCAGTACGCTTCGCTATCCTTTGGAAGTGCGAGTCCAGTACCGAATAAAAAAGACCCTGATGTAAGACTTCTGGTCATTTCGCTTTTTATACATGAACTAGAAGTCAAAACTGCGTTGTTTTTCTCTGTACTTGATTCAGTATTTAAAGGTTTGAAATAATATTAAACGAGACTTTCAGAGATTATATTGTTCTCGAGCATTCTTTGTATGCCAATAATTGATACTTTTTTTGTGTGTTTAGCGATTTAGAAGCCTTGTCCTTTTTTCCCGTAGATTTGTTTTTCTTTTGCCTTCTTGGCAAACTTGCTTGTTCTGTTCCTGTTTTTAAGGAAAGCTTCACAAATGAATTTACTTGGACACTATATTTCTCTGTTAAATATAAATCACAGCTGATGATTTTGACTTTATCATCGAGGCTTTTTAACGACCAGATTATTTACAGTCACAGTCTTTTCCAATTGGCCCTTTTCAGCTCGGGCCCACGTGACATATATCTCAAGCCAAAACTGGGAGATACCGTATGTAGTAATGTTAAGTGTTGGTGTTTGTAAACAAAAAACGGCGGCAGTGTTAGGCTGTTTTCTCACTATATCAGATGGTTTTTCGTGCAAACGAAAAGCTATTCGGTATAGTGTGAAAAGGAGCTACCCGAAGCCAAAAAATTGAAAGAGCAAAAAGCAAATAGCGAGCCCGCCGATTTTCAGGAGATTATAATAATGACTAGAAAAAACTTGCCGGACGGCACTCCCCTCACGGTTCAATATTTTTTTCTGCTATATTTTGACCAACATTCCAACGCCTATGAAGATACTTCAGTTCTAAAGTGCCAGTCACCTAAAAATTGCTTTTCTTGCTGTTGTTATTTTCTCGTGTTGTTTCAACTTCTGCTATTTCAAGTTACAAGTTGTATCCCATAATTTCAGCATCAAGCAAGGTCACGTGACTGCGAGCTGCAAAGGGTCTATCCAATCAGATCAATCGATCATCAACCTGAACTGGTGTTCGCTTCCTGACCCACTTGAATATTCTCCTGACCCCGAGTCTTCACCAGAGCTATCCTCGTCGACTGAATTACTGATTTCCACAGTTTTTGGCATCTCCATCATTCTTATTGTGTCTACAGGCTCTATTTCACACATAAACACCATTGACCCGATTGTAGGGTTCACACATAATTCATCGTTCCATTGCTTGGCCTTGTCCCTTGAGTAGATGTACATGTGACCGCAATTCTCGCCTCGCCCGTAAGCGTTGTTAGGTTCGCCAAGCGCCCAGTTGGAGTACATTAAGGGTGAGTGATCGTTGATCCAGGTGAATGTCTCGTCGGAAGAACCACGTAATAAACCTATCCACATAAATCTTGAGAGAATGAAAAAGAAGCGTTTTGAGTTTAGGTCAATATTTTCATGATTCACATCTCTTACGTAAAAAACCGTTTCTGCGTCAACAAACTCGACCTCAAACTTGGTCAATCACAGAATAATATAATGCATAGTCAAAAGGTACCGTTGGATCAACTTGCGCAGCGATGCGATGTTTGAGACTGAACAAGCTCGTACTGAGAGAAGTGAAGGAGCAAAAAGTTAAAAAAAAAAAAAAAGGTTAAAAAGCTTGTTCATAATGGAAAAGTGCACTTAGCCTATCCAGCTAATTTACAGGCACTCTTCTCAAATACTAGACACGAATAATTCAAATACAACATAACAGGATTAAAAACCCAAACTGGTAGGAGGCAACCAGTCGGCTATTTACAAGCTTTGCCGAGAATTTCAATTCGGGACGACCGAGAACAAATCCAGCAAGTGGCCAGAGCGGGATTCGAGCCCAGGACCGCCGGATTTCGAGTCCGACGCCCTGACCACTCGGCTACGCTGCAAAGACTACTCATCTGTTTTTTTTTTTGCCCGAGGTTTCGGAGTTCGATTACTGGGTGTGACTTCAAATTTTTGTTTTGACTCCTTTCTTTTCCGTGCAGCTTAAAGTAGCTTTAAATACCCGTAAAATAGAGCACTGATGGAGAGATTGGTAAAATGGGTACACCGTCGGCTTCAGATTTGTTAGCCTAACGTGTACTTTTTCTAGTTACTTTGCCTTGCCCCTGTACAGCTTCTTCCCAGGCCTTCTCGGTCAATGCATTTCGGTGACGTATCCGAGACGAACGGCTAAGAGTCTCAAAAAGGGAAAAACACTCGCTAGGACCAGATGACCCGAAAAGTATCGGCCGCGCACAATAATGAGGCCTCGGGACTAGGAGTTACCGTCGAAAAATAAGGACCAGGGACCTCCTATTGCAATTCAGGTGGCTACTTTTAGGACCCCTCTGTCTCAGAGAGATTTCATCTACATTCGATGGAGCCTTTACGATATCTTTCAAGTCAACTCTTCAACTTACCTTTTATCGGAAGCTTTGGCGCGAGCGAGTGAATAGACAAAGTGGTTTTCTTCTGAAGAGCCAATCTCAACCAGGTCTCCTCCATGTTCTTGACAAACCTGTCTAGCTTGATTCCACTGCCTTGTTAACCGGTTGACTACCAAGTAACATGAGAAACGATACCCCGTCCAACCTTGTGGGCATGCCCCAACTACGAATAACAGGATAATAAAAAACTTAAAACATATTTACACAAAATTAACGGTATTATCGTCTCTCTCTAAACCTCGAAAATTCAACTGTAAAAGGAGGCCTTAAAATCCGAGGGCGAGGACAACCAGGAGGAAGGAAGAGGTTTGACTAAAACTCAGTTTTGGGGCATTCTAAGACAATGGACACCCAGAAAGCTTCACTTTACTTTATTCTATTTTATTTTTTCACCAGAAAAGCTAGCACACACTACCTATTTTTATTGAAGGAGGTTAAGCCTTCTCCTGATCGCAAAATGATAAAATATCTAATACACTATAGCACTTATTTCCGCCACTGTAACATCTTCTCTGAAACCCGTAGAAGAATGACGACGGCTATCGCGATTTACCGCCGAAATTATGCTAGTTCGTGCGCGCGCTACTTGGTACTAAGAAAATCTAGTTGTTTTACCTTCAATTGGTCCTGCGACAGCCTCGATCTCACGTTGACTCAATGCCTTGTCATAGACTTGCATCCGGGATATCCGTCCATTAAAATAGTTCCCATCATTCACAGCTCGCGCGCCCATTCTGGCGTTATTTGAAGTCGACAGTTTGATATTGGTTCCAATGCCTCTCTGACTGCTCACTCGCTTGTTCACCCACAGCCTCGCAATTCCGCTGGTTTGATCGTACGACATTCCAACATAATTCCACGCCTTTGTTTTTAGAGGATGAGCGCTGTCAATGCAAGTCTCACATTGGTCGTCCTGTTCAACAAACTTTGCTGCTAGGTGACGCTTCGAATTTACCCAAAGGCTGACTCCCCATCCCAGAGGATTGTAGTTGAATATAGGTCCATTGCCCGACTCGATATAGACCCAAGCCAGCAGGGTTATAGATTCTCTAGCTCTAAGCGCCCCCATGTTTGGGAATTCAATAAAACTGTCGCTCTTACCAGAGAACTGGTACGAGCCGTTAGGATGTCCCTCAGGTCCTGTAGCGAGATGAACTCCACGCGCCATGCCGTTGGGATTGCTTCTACCGCTGACATCCCAAGTTGTGTATTTGCCGTTTAGTGGATACAAGGCAATAGGAACTGGTAAACTTACTGGAGTGGCTGTAAGAAAGCAATTATGAACTGTTAAAAAGAAACTGTGTTTAACAGAGGAAGTATAGCCTTTCCGACTTCGCCGGTCCTCTGGAATAATAAATCCCTGGAAAAGCAAGAGAACAGGAAAGCTTAGATCTTCTCAAATCGTTTTTCCGAGTCAAATTTTTTTTACAGAAAGATGTATAGAAAATTTTGAAAAGTGGTTCTGGCCCATGAAGCTGCATGTAACGTCTTCAAACTTTTTTAGTAGAATCGTTAGGAGTGAAGCTTTAGTTTACCTTCTCTTTTTTTTTTTTCAGAACAGCCGTTTTACGGAAATTATTCGACTACAAACACTGCAATTTCTCACTCGGTTGCCAATTCGTCAAGATGGCTTCCAAAACCGTGACAAGGTCTATACTAGCGAGCGCCTGGAAAAGCATCCTCGGAGACCCAGGGGCAGATAGTGGGAGCAAGGGAAAGTCTAAACGGATGCAAAAAAAAAAAAAAAAAAAAAAGGGGACGGGGGGACGCTACCTTTGTTAACCACAACCTTTTCCCCTTTTCTTTTCTTTTTCTTCCCTTCTTCCTCCATTACCGCACCAGAAGGGGAGGCAAACAACAGAAGGGGCGACAGAGACACCTCTATCTCTTGCATAAGATGGCTTAAAAAACCGGGACAAGTACAAAACAAGCAAGCGCCTGAAAAAGCAACCAGGGAAACCAAGGGGAAAATAGGGGGAGAAAGGAAAAGTCAAAACGAATAAAAAAAAAAAAAAAAAAACAAAATGGCACGGAGAAACTCTACCTTTTTTCGCTATTAGACTTTCCCTTGCCCCTACTATCTGCACCTGGGTCTCCGAGGATGCTGGGAAGGGAGAGGGTGCGATGGGACGAGGGACAAGGCGGCAAAAAGCTTTCCTTATCTTTCCATTTCCAATCGTTTCCCGCGCCTTTTTAACCAACAACAGGCGAGGAGACTGAAAAAAAGAGACGACGTTTCCCGACACCACTTTTGGCGTTCCCCAAGAAATGACATCTGAGGAACGAATGCAGAAATTCGATACTGATGATACGTCACTACCCAGATCTGAGTAGTGCTTCCTGATTGGCTGAAAACTTGCTTCGTCCAGTCAGAAGCACAAGCCCGCAGATCTGGGTGGTGAGTATGGATTTTGCGTGTGCTCTTTCATTTCTTGGGGAAACCAGTGCAGTGGTGGCGTCGCGAAAAATCGGCTGTTTTCTCAGGCTAGACTGCTGATAGTACAAAGTTGCTTGCAGATGACCTATAAAACAGAGGCGAAATGTCATCTTACCTGGTGTCCCGGGCTCAACCGGATCTACTTGAATCACTTCCGGGTCTCGTCTTCCTTCCGGTTTGTCTTTGGTCATCATGGTAACTTTGTTACTCACGTTTGTATATAACTGTCTGTTGAGATGTTCTGAAAACTTGGCTGTCCAGTTGGCAAGTATCGCGCTAAACATCGCTGTGAAAATAAATGCATTAACGTTCACTATGCTGTGGTTCATGACCTGATTAAGAATAACGCTAAGCGGGGTGTAATTTGCTGTATTGAATCAGACCAGCAGTTCAGAAAGCATTGACTCTGAATGCGCATGCTCCGTGGGGAGCCAATAAACTTTCATGCACTAATGTCACTTCGTTTTTATCGAAACATTTATTTTTAGAACCATTTTGGAGCGAATATAGTCCCACTAACCAGCTTGTCAGCAAACCCTACAGACCTCAAAATGGTTTATTTTACCTTTTAACGTCATTTAGTGTTTCTTTTTGATATCTTGTACTTCGAATGCGCTCATATAGACGGAGAGGAGTTTCCGTTCTGGCGAGAAAGAGCGCTCTAAAACGTATCGAAAAGTAAACCCGCCGTGACATGGTCCTAGTATGGAAGTTGCTCCCTACGTGTTGCGGGCTCCTAGTAAGGTAAAAATACCTTATATCCTGAATCGTTAACGATCGTCTTTTGTAAGGCGTGCGGTATGCGAGTGCCAGGTATGTCACCTCTAGCTCTCCCTCATCTCTTCAAACAACTCTAGATCCCACGATGTGCGCGTAATAAAGACGACTGGGAACAAGTCAGTAGTATTTTCATCAAAAAGCGCCATCGCCCTTCTCCAATAAGCATCCCCGTCCCTCCCCCGTCAAGGTTTTTTTTAATAGTAAGCAAGTAGCTTGGAACTGGAAGACATTCATTTGCTTTCATATTACTTCAATGATTTTACCTTACTTAGTAAATTTTATAAACTTCAAGAGAAAGATTTGGGGCGCACGTGTTGTTTTGTTACTTCTTGAATGCCGCAATCTTCTACGCTGATAATTTTAAACGCTTTTGTTGGAGACAGTTCAACAACACGGAAACCACGCACCACTAAGCTCTACAGGCACTTCAGTAATCAGTCTTTAATTATATATCACCAGACCAGCTGTGATAGTTTGCAGTAGAAATCTAGTTTCAATGATAACAAATCGTTGTTGTTATAGCCTCACGCAATGGAAGGGTCTCTAACCGCATTAGTCTGTTTTAAACATTCCAAAAAAATGCCTCAAATACAAGCATTCATTAACGTAAAACTCCCGTCCATTTGGTCTGTTTGCTTTAATGTACGGCAAATCATCTTTACTGTCAATTAAATCACAAACCCCTCGGGCTCGAGTAACTGATTCCTTTGGTTATTCTTCCCTGCTACTAGGGGCATCCAGCGACGGTTTCCTCGTAAATACATTAAAAACTCTTTTTAGCCTATCAAGAGTAATTTTAGATCTCTGGAAATGCACTCTACGCGGCGCTATAAAATTTGTACCTGTTCGGTCACCCTAGGGGAGCTTGAGTCTTGTCATCTAAATTTTAGATGTAACATCACGTATTACGAAAGTGACAATTTTTCTGATTCCTCTTTCCATCACATTTTTTAATCCGAAAATTTAAGGTTTCCTTTTTTCTACGAAAAATAGTCTAACCTTTGGAGTGAAATGTGACAAATTAAACTTGAGAAAATCGTAGCGAATTTATTGCATAAGCTTCAAAAATTGTACATGAATGGAACGGCCACATAGAATTTTTTGGCCGCCCTGAGGTAATAGAACATTCTAGGCAATATTTGCTTCTCCGAAAAGATATTTTTAAAAGTGGTTGGGTGCCCCTGTTTTACTGCTGTGCTAGCATGGTCTTTTTTCATTCACAGCATATCTTATAGTAAGTGGCTCCAATCCCCTGAGTTGTTGGCCTATGAAAGAAACCCTTAGCAATAAATGACCTGCTTTTCGAGTAACGTCTCTAAACTGCTGCGTCAGGAGCCATATAAGCTCATATACCCTGGCTGCGTAGAATGGTTTTTCATTAACTTTTGCAGAAAGACTGAATGAGACACTGTTGTCAAAGTCACCAGCCATTAAAACAAAAAGTATCGATTATCACTTTCCTGTGATGATGTTCATTGTTTTGTACAAGTGTTTTAACAATCGAAAATTGATTTTTGCCCTGTCTGTAGTGACCATAATAAGAGATTGCATTTCAAAAGACGTTCTTCTCGCTGTTCCAAGCATTGTGCTTCTGCCGTGCCAAGAATTAAGTTCGACAAAACGGTACAGCAGAAAGAACTGTAGATAACGTTTTGAATTTGGTTCGACAGGAACAACGAAGTTCGACAAGGTCAATTCCATGCTACATGACTCCAGCATGGCAGTGATTTAATTGACGTGCTGACATGCAGTGCCCAACTATATTAAATTCTGTGAATTCATAAATTTTGGAAATGTGTACTTTTTGCTTCATTTACCGCTGACTTGATACTACGTTCCCAATTAAGTTCGACTCTGAATTGAAGTCGTGCTTCTGTTGAACCCCACTGAAAACAACTGAGTTCGGCGACACGGCAGAAGCAAGACGTATGAACTGGCCTTATGGATGGAAGGGTTGATCGGGATTGCGTGCGCACGCTTTTCTCCTTCACACGCTACCACCGATAACTGATAATTCATTGATCACGCGATAACAACAGCACGCTCTCCCTTCAGGCGATGTCGATAACAAGCTGCGCTTGTTTAGTGACCGAGCGGAAAAAGCTCATTTCCCGCTGTCAAGAACACTTAATGAATGATTGCACCGGCTTTTTTGAAATACTTCCCTTTGGCAAGTAATCGATTTTAAAGGGATGATATTTTAAGCAGTATAATTATTGAAAACAGCTGACTTATCATCAAATAAATTATTTCTTTGCTGTTTCGTTGGTGATGATTTTAACAGAAATAGTGCAAAAAAACTCGTTTTATTCTTAAGAATACTTTCTTCCAAGAGATGGCAACTATTTCTACCTGTTTGTCATCAGTTTAATATGTTATTATTTGGTCTAGACTTAGTTGTTTTGTTTTGTCTTTTTTTTAAATTTACAAGTGATTCAAATCTACCTAAATTATGATTATTGGAAGCTATTAACAAGTACTTCCTTTGATTAAAAACGTGTTGTTCTAAATGCCAATTCCATAACTGCTCACGATAAGTTAGAAAGGAAGTGCTCCGAAATTTGTGGTAAAAGTAATCTTTCGTCCGGCTTGCAATCCGTGACGTAAATCAAGCGCGCTTGTAACTCACGAGAGTTTTTACTTTGCAATCGAATACTATTATTATTCAGATTAAATACAGTTGCTGTTTTGATCTGAAACATGCCTTTCTGTAACAACAAAAACCTTATTAAATCGGGTTCAAGAAATACACCAACAGATCTTCAGGTCCTTTTTTGCTTGTTAGCGAGTTACTTTTTTTCAGATCTCGAAATTAGTATTTTAAAGCCAAGAATTGGACGATGATTGTTTATCGAGATTCTCCGATGCGTTTTTTTCTCTGTTTTTGACAAGGACCTTCGCACTGGATTTCGGGGGAAGGGGGGGGGGGGTACTCTGCTTTTATGCCATCTGTATGGTTTATAACCAAGGGCCTGGTTTCAAAACGCGTTTGGATTCGAAGTGAAGTCTGGTATAGCTTTAAAGGGAACCGTGAGAACGTAAAAACGAATTTGTCTCAGCTCCGAACGTGAGATTCTTTGTCAAATACCACTAGAAAAGAAAATAAATCCTTAAACAGTCGGTGTTGACTTCATTTGGACAAGGTCATTTATTCGCAAACCGAGCAGCCGTGTTTGAAAATCGGTATGGATTTTAGAAGAACAGGTGTGAAAAATTACATGTTTTGATCTAAAATGGGGTATAAGGATTTGGAGAACTGGGCGGCATACACCAGCATAGAATTCCTAAGAGTACCCCTTGGACTACTGAATTTTGCAGGGGATAAAAGAACTGCTTTAATAATACTTCCTGTTGGTTCAAAGTTCACAAAAAAGAGCGAGAAACCTTTGCCACCAGAGAAGTGAAAGTAATTGGATTTTACTCAAATCCGACGCCTTAAGACCTTGCGGAAACATTCCCGATCTGTTCAGTATAGAAAAAGAATGGTCTGCCAAGTAAAAAGCTTCTTACAAATGTGCCCAAAGCGAAGTCAGATTTTTCAGAAAGGGTGTGTTTTACCCCATATGAAAAATCTCCCAGTTCAGTCTCTGTACCTGTCAGTAGTGAACGTGACTATTTAATCGCGTAGCGCAGCGGATGAAAACAAATAGTCTGTTCCAGGTATGAGGTACAAGTTAGAGATAAGAAATGAATTGGATAAACAAAAACAATTATCATACGTAACTACAGCCGTCAGCGGGTCGGTTATTTATAGAGCTTGGTAGATTACTTACAAGTGCATGTTGTCTCCTATTCACGCCCTGAAAAAAAACTCAGCTGTAGCCCAAGCTAATTGTACATCTCTGTGTTTTTGTTAACCTCTGCTTCTTAATTAACCCTTCCAGAAGTACAGAATTATTTCGGTGAATTAAGTAGTGGCTGGGATATTTCGCCATTTTTCTGATGCAATGCGATGAATAAGTACCAGTTTAACCGCGAGAAAAAAATTTCCAAGATCTAGTAAAGTAGGACTAATTATGGTATTTATCCAAGAGATTTCGATCAAGATATCAGTATGCTTGCCAAGAAAGAAATTGTACTGAAAATCTGTTGTTAAAACGTTATTATAATTCGCTGGCTCCGTTTATAAAAAAAGAACATTAATCACACGCCAGAAAAGCTTCTTAAAGATTTACGTGTTTTTAGTTTTTAAGTACTCTTGCATTTGACGCGAACAATTTGTTTTGGGTCCATCGATTCTCCATGACCTCAACTCTGGATGAAAGAATGCCTTCATATCTCCTCACGAAAACTAATTTTTGACAGTTCTGGTAAGATTGAACGTTTTCGTGGGATAAAGAATGGAGCCTTTACTCTCCGAGGATAGCCTTAAAGGACGTATTTCCTGGGTGACAACGGTCTATAGCCCATTCTGCAGAGTCTTTATCTCCTGGAATGCGCATAAACCAAACAGATTAGAGCTAAAACTCAAAACGGAAGAAAAAAATCATCGTAACACACTGACTGTGCCAGTGTTAAAGTTCCACACTTAGTATCAAATGAACAGGACATTAAACAGGGGATTTAACCAAAGAAAAAAACAGCGATGGTTTTGAGTCAGTCGCCTAGCCGTGAACCTATCTCTTTCCGTGACTGAAGGAGAAAAAAACGGATTTTTGTTCTACTACGTTTTCAATGTAAATCTAAAAGCACAGCGGGAGACTTTAGCCACTCATAGCTTACATTTGATGGTCACGACCTTTTTTTTTTTGTAACGCGCTGAAGTTAACAAAGTATTCCATGTCTTAGATTTGACACCCTCAAACGGGAAAACCTTGCGGAAAAACTGGATGAATTAAAACGAGAGCAAAAACAGACCTCAACAACATTGGCGTTTTTCAGCGTATAAAAAGATACATCTGTATCTCATGCAGATTGAAACAATATTCGGTGATTCAAACGTTTATAGTGTTTCAATGTGATACTGAAAAATCATACAATCCAGGGACAAACAGAACAGAAAAATTAAGACAACTAAGAGACTTATCTTACCTCGAAGTACTTTCTTTGTAGAAGCATCTTTTGCTCTAGAGAGTTTTCTCATGAGAGGATTTATTGACCCTTTGGAAAAGTTAGCCATTTTCTCTTCAATCAGGTCATCTAAAGAGCGATTCCATTTGTTCATAAGTGTTTTAAGATCCTTTGGCAAGACACATTTCGTGCTCGGGTTTTGTTTTTGTATTGAAGAATCCCGGTTACAGCGAACCTCTTGCAGTTGGTCTTTTCCTCGCGAAGAAATGATAGGTCCCAGGAGAACTCCAGCCGTAAAAGCAGCACAAACAAGAGCAAATAGCGCCGTATTACAAAGCCACGTTTTGTACGATGTATGGAAAAATCCCTGTTCTTTGGCCATTTTAGAGTCTACGAGTCGTTTCTGCAGCGTTCTCTTTCGGGATAGACACTAATGCGTGAATCTGCTGAGATGGTTTATATACTTATTGAGCTGTCAGCACGGGTCGCGCGAGGTCGTGAAATCAATACATCCCCTATTGCTTTCTAGTCTCTGCTTAGATCATATCGAACACGGAGTCAGTAAACAAGTTATCTCTTTCCTTGTAACTCGTTTTCGAGGGCGAATCCGGCCAATCACGACAGCGGAAAACTCGTCAAAAAATTCGCCGACGTGCTGGCGACGTGCGTTCAGAGCGGTCACGTTAGCGGGATTTCTGCTTCCCATTGGTCGTCCATTTATCTTGGGGCGCGCGCTTTTCCCCGGCTTCCTTTGTCAGAGATTTATTGCCGACATAGTACACTCCTTCGGCAAAAAAGTAATTACTTCACTTTCGAAGGTATTCAACAATTTTCATAAGTCAAATGTTCGATAAATAACGCACCCAATGAATTTAAACATTGCTGGACTATTTTTAGATTTAAACATTATCTTCCAGATATTGATATATTATTCTCAATTCTTGCGTTCAAAGCCACTTGCAGGTTTAAATATGTCAAATGGGTCTAATTAAATTAATGTTTACCCCTTTCGTAACAGATCACTTTCTAATAGCTGGTTTGACCTAGTTTCCGTCATGCGATTCATCTAGGAACCGCAAGGACAAGTTTTAACTGGGGCTAAAAAAAAAGCAGAATTTCTTGGCATATTTCACGGACTCTTAGGGTATTTTCTATACAGTACAATGACTATCAACAGCAAGGTTTTTATGTAATCAAAAGTTGACCAGTGTAAATATGGTACACAACTCAAACATCTTTTTCTCCCGNTTATTGCCGACATAGTACACTCCTTCGGCAAAAAAGTAATTACTTCACTTTCGAAGGTATTCAACAATTTTCATAAGTCAAATGTTCGATAAATAACGCACCCAATGAATTTAAACATTGCTGGACTATTTTTAGATTTAAACATTATCTTCCAGATATTGATATATTATTCTCAATTCTTGCGTTCAAAGCCACTTGCAGGTTTAAATATGTCAAATGGGTCTAATTAAATTAATGTTTACCCCTTTCGTAACAGATCACTTTCTAATAGCTGGTTTGACCTAGTTTCCGTCATGCGATTCATCTAGGAACCGCAAGGACAAGTTTTAACTGGGGCTAAAAAAAAAGCAGAATTTCTTGGCATATTTCACGGACTCTTAGGGTATTTTCTATACAGTACAATGACTATCAACAGCAAGGTTTTTATGTAATCAAAAGTTGACCAGTGTAAATATGGTACACAACTCAAACATCTTTTTCTCCCGTCAATTTGACAATTCACCCGGGGGGTTGGTTACTTGGGTTATTTTTGCTGGGTATTTGCCACTGGCCTCTCTGAACCGCAACCCCATTAAAGTCTATTTTGTGACAGGAGCTCTTGTTTTTGGCCAATTATAGACCCCATCTTAGTCACTTTTGAGCAAGTGTAATATTCGCGATCCCAACTTTGACATTTTCTGTTTATGCATCTGCCTTTTAAAGCCTTTTAACTTGGTCTTCCTGAACTGAATTGACACATTTGTTTCAAAAAACTAAATGCATTAAAAATCTTCCCATTAAAATCCCTACCAACCTGAATTTTCTGACCCGCAAAATCCCGAAAATGTGCGACCCCATTCTAGTAACTCTATTGAAAACTACAACCCCATTACAGTCAATCCAGTCATGAAAATGTGACCCTATCCAGCCGGCCGGAGCTGCGTACTTTATGCTGCCGACTAGGGTCATGGGGAGCGTTTCCAACTAAGGTAGGTTATAAAGCGAGCCTTCATAGCTTTGAAGAGCGGTTCTTGTGTTTAGCAAATACGGCGCAGTCACGCTCAAGCGAGACTGGCGTTGTGCTGTTTGAACTCTGTTCGCCTGTGAAAAAATATCACTCATGGGTTTTTTAAGTATGGTAGGGTTGTTCTGTCAATGAAAAAACAAAAGGTAAGTAACGAAGTCAGAGAAAATGAATGAACACAAGATGAAACAAACCCTGCAAAAGAAATTGAGTGAGTTTATACACAAAGGAACTGTAATTCAGACATATGAAATCAATTTGATGACCCCCGCTTTCATCCTTGTTATTTTACACTTCATCTCTAACTGACAAGGAAATACGTGTTCTACAATTTTGCACAGCATGCTCTTTTAATCCAATTTTTATTGGTTACTTGGTGGCCAATATATTTGCCGACCAACATAGCATGCAGGGTCTCAAAACAGAATTTGGGACACCCCAGTAATAGTAAAATATGGGAAAACTGAGAAATAATATATATCGAACCTCGTTGAATTATAACCAACCAAGTTGCCAGTCCCTTGGCCATTCGTTATATCGAGGTTCCAATGAAATGCTGAAGAAGATTCATTTGAATGCGGGTAACACCGTTGGATTTCATCCACAGACTCAAAAGTAAGAACTAAATGCAAAAAAAATTTGGACCATGTGAAACTACTTCCCCTAGGGGCGAAATATAAACCGGCAATGTCTTCAGAAGTAACTCTACTGAGACTGTTATGCAGTGAAAAACAATTTCAGATCGCAATTACAGTACATCCACTAGTGTTGATGTTAGAAAATTAATTTCTTGCACTAAAATGAAATGATGAAACTCTTTGAATCAATTGAGTACGGGGATTAATTGCTCGACAGTTTTCACCCTTTATGAACAGAGTGAAAACGCTAACTTACAATGAAGTCTTGGGTTGAATTTTTCCCACCTGGAAAAAGGTTAGGAAGGAAAAGAAAAAAGGAATTGAAAAACAAGAAATGGTCCAGTTGTTCGAAGGCCAATTAACGCTAGTTAACCCAGGGTTAAATTTTAATCCCGGTGACCTTTTCTCTTGTTCAAAAGCATTCGGATAATTAACCCTGGGTTATCTTAACCTAGCTTTGAACAACCCGTTCATGCATATGATGAGCTACCTTGGTTAAGCTAAGGGGATGCTTCGAGCTCCAGATCTTTTTAAAAACATCTAGTATATTTTGTTTACGATCTCAGTAACAATCATGTTAAAACAATTTGTATCATTTCCTTTGGCTCCAGACTGATATTTATCAAACAAGTGTTAGTTGTTGAGGCAATCAGCTACTCACTGATGTCAACCGCAACTTGCCGAACGATTTTCAGAGAACTAAAGATAACTTATCATCTACTATAATTTTAGCTGTATCATAGGTTAGGGTTAGCATTTTTGCTAAATTTAGACAATTATTTGATTTTGTTTCATGGTTTTCGTTTTAACCATTCTGCACATGCCATGACCTCAAATATCAAAATTATTTATACCGCTCTAATCTACCCCTCAGGATCTTCATCAAATTGTTGTACGAAGAATTTACGACTGATAAATACCCAGCTCAAATCATAAATAGCGACTCAAGACAATCTTGTTGTTTCTTATTTCATGAACAGTAAGAAAGGAAAATATTGCGAAAGAGATTAATGCCGGGCCGCCTTCTCAAGGGGCGCCAACGACGGTTTCTTCCTAAATACATTGATAACACGTTTTACGCTATCCAGAGTACTTTTAGATCTCCAGAAATGCATCTAATTGGGGCCATAAAATTTGTACTTGCTCGGTCACCCTAGGGAAACTTGAGTCTTTTCGAAATTATAAGGGTTTCAGTATTTTTTCCCGAAAATTTCAGATGCAATTCAACGTCTTATGACAGTGAGAATTTTTCTGATCCCTGTCTCCATCACATTTTTGAATCCGAAAATTTTACATTTCCTTTTTTGCATGAAAAATATCCCAACTTGGGTAGTGAAATGTGAAAAGTTAAACTTCAGAAAATCGTGGGGAACTTATTAGATAAGGTTCAAAAAATTATACGTGAATGGAATGGACATTTAGAAACTTTTAGGCGTCCCCAAGTAATAGAAAATTCTAGGTAATATTTGCTTCTCCGATAAGATATTTTACAGAAAACAGTCGTAGGGTGCCCCTGCTTCTTTCCATACCACTATTTGTAGCGGCCCCTCGAGTAGGTGGACAGTTTCCCAGAAACTACCATTACCATACCCCCAAAAAGAAAGTACAACTTAAAGCAAGGATAAAATGAAACCACAAGATTTTTAACGACTAGTCTTGGGAAACTTTTCGTCCACGTGTATCTTATTTCACCGCATACTAACGGCCGACTAGCCAAGTTTCACCACTACATTCATCGATATTAGCTGACTTTGTTGACGAATGACGAACACAGCTTGTCCCCATCTTGGTTTTCAATTCATGCGGTTTGACCACACCAAAGACCGAGCACGGAGTAGAACGCGAAGAGTGAACTTTGACGTTGAGAACTTAAATCGTGGGACGCGGTTACAAGGGATCTCCATTTAATCACAATATCATTTCAGGTCTATTAATGGAATCAGGGACACCCAGCGACCGAATGTTTCCAATTTTGTCAGAAGTGCGGTTTAAAATGGTTTTCCCTACGATTTAGAAGTCTGTTTGGCTAATTCGAAGCTGCCCTAAAAACTCATAGTATTCATCTGTTCGGATGTCTCAGTAGTCCTTTGGTTGTCTCGAAAGTGTAATGAGGTGGCTTTTTCGTCTCATCCTAATCTTTTAACTACCTTAAGCCCCGGGGGAGGGGAATACCCCTGGGAATCTTGGTGGGGGTGTGCCGCCCGGTTCTCCAAATCCTGACCGTATTTCAGACCAAAAAATGTAATTTTCCAGACCCGTTTTCAGACGAGACCTCTAAAATCCATACCTGTTTTCAGACCTGGCCCTTAGGTAGAAATTATGGTATCTTTACTTAGACTATAGCGCAAACCAAAACAAGCTTGAATTCGTATATTTCTCTTTCTTTCTTACTCATTTGGAATTGAAACGATAAATACTTTCATACATTCCCGTAGTTCCCCGAAAACCATACCCGATTCCACACCTAAATGGGCAAAGTGTATACCGGCTCTCAGACCAAAACGGCGCAAAAACCCTACCCGATAGG